AGTAAACCCACAAAAACAATCCCTTCACTTTCTGATCTGACTGCTTCAACCCAAAATAAAAGACATCTCCCAAATCTCCCCCAAAGCCCTCAGTCAGCCACAACGAGATCTCCCGGGCGTCTGCCCTGGCGAGGGGCTGCCTCCACTCTCCATCTCCTGAGCCCGGGCAGATCCCTCAGGAACATCTCTGAAGCTTCCGCTCCATGAAGGGTGGAAGCTGGCCAACCTCCCACACCTCCAACCAGAGCCCCAGGTTATGCCACAGGTTTGGGAACCAAGAGGCTGCGTGAGGCCCCGCCTGCAAGGGAAGCAAGCCACTGCCTGCACACACATCCAGGGCCCTGACCCGTGTGGTTCTACCACCCAGAGCAGTCACCACCCCTGGGCAGGAACAGATGCCCACCACCCTAAATGCAGGGATCAAACAGCTTCCAACTTGCAAACCACAGCAGTACTGCAGAAGGGTGGCAGAGACGGAAAGCATGTTTGCACACAGCAATTCTTGAGTCAGAGATCCTATTTTCTGTAGGAACAGGAGACACCATCACATCAGCATTCCAACTACCATTCGGAGAAACAAGTCCTATTTCCTCAACTGTTACTCCCAGTTGCCAAAGGCACCGTAAGTTCTCAGGGCTAAGACCACAGCATAACCTTCTTGCCAGCCTTCTCTTTCTGTCCACACAAGCCTCTACACTTTATCTCCCACATCCAGACTCCTGCTTCCCAGTTTCTGATGTCTCTCTAGGCTTCTCCTGCTCATCTAAGTCCTCTAATTAAGCAGACATGGATCTAGATGTAGCACTCACTCCCACAGAGGCTGCGAGATTTCCTACGCTGCTACCACAAGTATGTGCGCGTGTGTGCGTGCACAGGCTTGTAGGCCCAGGAGCAGACACTATGCTGGTCAGTCCTCAGAGTTCTGTCCACTGTGAAGTGTGTCTCCAAGCAGGAAAGGCTAACCTGTGTGCAGTGTGCGCCCCATCCTCCCTCATGCTCCACCTCACGCGCACCTGCCTCAGAGGTCAGAGTTCGAGTCCCCCACGGAGAAGACCAGAGTAGAGTGCAGATCTGGGTACCTCCACTCCAAAGAGTGGGAAATGGCCAGTGAGACACGTAAGTGGACAGAAAATGTGAACAAGGGAGGAAAACCAGAGGCCTGGCCTTGAAAGCCTTCTGCAGCACCCCTCATCCAGGGAGCACACCAACCGCAGCAACAAGCTCTCAGGTAACGCGGCGCCCATGGAGGACACACGGCAGATCTCACCGCACCACGGAAACACAAGTGAACAAAGCTTGCCTGGAAAGCACCAGGCATGCTGTGAGATCAGACCTGAGAAGTGTGAGCCTCCACCCAAACACCAGCTGTTAGGCTCTGAGAACATGGTAAGGACACAGGAAGGTTTTCCATGTTATTCATTTCTTTTACTTTTTTTTTTTTTTGTCCATTACTTTCAGTATAACCAAAAGGGGGAAAAAATCTGTTACAATCTCACCATCACAGATCAATCCATTTCCACATTAGGAATCAAAAGCAAAACCTATGTAAATTAACAACTGAATTCCCATCATAGTATGAACTCAACAAGAGCTGCCTCAGTAAGGAATTTCTCCTTCCAATAGATCACCCCAACCAAGGTAAAACACAGGAAAGGCGAGGGGAAAAGCCACTGAAAACACCTGTTAGAACTGAATCACAACTTTCCCACCTAGCTACCTATGACAAAACACACAGACATAGCAAAGCTAGGTAAGGAAAACCTAAAAACCTCTTAATTACATCCTTCAAAGTTGTGAAACAGTAAGCCTATCAAAATAGGTAACCTTGAGCTGGTCCAAACAAAAATCTAATTAAAAGTTCTAAATCTTGACCCTCCATGTGGTGAAAATACCTTCAGATTCACAGGTCCAGTTAGAGGTACAGAGCATACACCGGCGGTAAATAGCTAGAAAACCCAGCGCTGAGCCTTCCAAGTACTATTACTCTACTAACTTTGGAAGTAGAAAGAGAAGAAACATGTCGTCAATAATGGGTCAGCGGGAGGGTAGGCGAGAGGAAAGCACTTTATACCGGGACACCTCAGCCTTTTTGTGTCCGACCTTCCTAGATATTCTTTTCTTCAGAGTATCTAGATGGACAGAGGTAATCATTCCTAACAAAGGAAAAGCTCTAAAGTCTCTTACCCCCTGATATCAACTGATATGAAGTGCCTTAAACACCTTAAGTGCAAGGTGCTTATCAAAAAGCACAGAGACCAGGAACACAGGTCCTCTAAAAGAAAACACCAGAGACTGATTAGCCAAGGAAATAAAGATCCTATACATCCTAATGTATAGTCACACTGGTTCTGAAATTCACCCAGTAGTGAGCTCACTGCCTGAACCAATATTGCTATATAAATACAGATCTACCTATCTATCTGTCTGGTAGCAATAAATACTGATAAGTAATTAAAGCAAGGGAGACTTTTCTTAATTCAAAGAGTATATAAGCTACTTGGAATATTAAAATATGTATAAAACACAATCAGAGACCATGTATGAAATGGATTCTTACATAGCATTTCAATGTATGTTACTAAGATGTACTTAAAAATTGGTACATTACTTTCTAGTCTTCAAAACACTAAAGTCTCTGATTTGATATGTTCCAAATCTGTTTTCGTCAGGGAGGGAAAACACATTGCCTCTGCTGAATGCAAAGGACAAAAAGAGCATCACTGCAAATCATAATGTTTGGGTTCATGATGAACACAGGAAACAGACAGGCTGCCCAGGTATAATTATGGTTGCAGTCTAACGTGCCTGCAGGTTCAGCCAAGAATTAAAACCCAGGAGAGAGGGTAAGCAGAATTCTCTTACCTTTCTACCTTGCTACAGAATGCAACTTTTAATAATACTCCTAGCAACAAGTTACATAACCAACAGTAAACAACAAACTGATTTCCAACCTCATTAGGAGCAACATTCTGCCACTGTCTCCCACTGAAATTAATAGCTGACTTTGCCAGAGGGGAAAGGCAACACACGGCCATCTACCCATTTCTGTGGCACCTACTGCCCTAAACCAGACAAGCAGATAATACTAACATAACAGACCTGTACAGGGCCTATGAATGTATCTTGTGCTGTTTTCCTACTGTGCTGCCCACTCTCTCTCTCTCAACTACATGCGGTCACATGGATGCATTACTAATGTCACAAGGGGCTAGGCCTGCAGGTCAGTCGGCAGCAGCACAGCGCTATCCAAGTCTAAGCCCTGCACAAGGGGAAAAAAAATTAAAAAGCTGGGGAAGCCCTTCTAGACTTTACTGCCTGTTTCAGCTAAGATCCACGAGGAATGCAATCACCAATGAGAAGTGTCTTTGTAACAAAGACTTACTAGCAGCTGCAGAGGTAAGAGGAATCAAGTGAAAAGGACTGAGGAGGAGGACGGCCCTGGGGATAATCAGAAGCAGAAATTCAATGTAAAAAATATGTCATCATACTCATTAGGAAGGTTCGGTTTTGGTTGCCACTGAGATGTTTTGTACTTTTATTACCCCCAAAGGTTGTCTTTAGAGGAAAAACAAGGTTATCAAAAGGATAAAAGAACGCAAAATGATTTGTCACAAATCCACAGGTAACTCCTCACAGGATCTGGAATAGAATAACTTCCTAACAATACTCATACCAGTACGTGTGAACCTGTCACAGTAAGTGCACACTAAGCGTTTTCCCACAACAGACACTAACTACCACACTGGCACCTGACCAGAAATGTTGGGGAAAAAAAAAAAAGGGTATTTGGAGTGTTACCAAATCTACTCAGCGTGTTCAGCCTTTCAGCTTTCAAAAGCAATAAATACAAAAACTAATTCCTTTGGGGGGGGGGGGGGTCAATCAGACACTCCAAGGAAACTCAAGCACTGCTCTTCTTCAAAAACAAAGACCCTGGCCACCCTTTTCTCTCACTGGCTGAAGCCAAGCAAACCCATCTCCACCACCTAACCCCAGCCCAGCTCGGTGGCTGGGTGAGAGCACCCGTCAGGCCCCCGCCGGGCAGCAGGAGGACTTCAGAACTAACTCGGCGGAGAAGATCGGGTAAACAAGATTGACTTTGCACCCCACCCATTTACACGCCAAAGCAGCCAGCAGTGCGTGCACACACACACACACACACACACACACACACACACACACGCCCCTCCAGCTGGTCAGGAAACACCATCAAGATAAGGAGCTGGCCCAGGGTGTTTCCAGGGTGGCCAGGGGCTCCTCCACTCCCAACGCCAGCCATCTCGGGTGATAGGAAGCAGGCAAACCACACGACACCCCCCCCCGCCCCCCTGCACCCCTGGACTTCCCGGTCCCCCAGGACTTTCTCTATTTTTACACCCAAATTTTGTCTTTAATGCTGTTTTCCTACTGAGCATGCTCAGACTCCAGGCGCCCACAGGGAAGTTTTCAAAGCTTCGCCTCCCCAACTCCGGGACACTTTTTTTTTTTTTGGAAGTCGGAAGGAGCTGAAAAAAGACGAGAGGGGGGGACGGAGAAGGCGGGAAGAGTGACCTCAGGCTTGCGCCTGGACGCAACAACAACAATAACAACAACAGTAACAGTAACAGTGAGAAGGGCGGGCTGGCGCGTTCTCAGCGGCCGAGGAGGAGGAGATCGAGGCCGGGCTGGGAGCCCACCCCCACCGCCCCCGATCCCCCCCGGGGCGAGGCAGGGCGGCGCGGCCGGCCCCGGGGTGTCCCGCGCACCGCGGGGTCCGTCTGTCCGGCCACACAAAGCCGGGCGGGCCCCGGGGCGGCCGGGCTGGGAGGCGCGGGGTGCGGGGAGGCCGGGCCGCTCCCGCCCCGCGGGCCCCGCGCCGCCCCCCGTGCCGGACGCAGGCCTCACGCCCGCCCGCAGGCCCCGGGGCCGCCTCCGCCCCGCCCGGGCCGGCCGCACCCCCGGGCCCTCCTCCTCCGCCCCGGCCCCCGGCGGCGGCGCCCACCTCAGCCGCGGTCACTCACCCCGTCGCCGGCCGGGCGCGCTCGCCCCCCCCGCCCGCCCGCCCGCCCGCCCGCCCCTCCAGCGCCGTCGCCGCCGCCGCCGCTCCCCGCGCGCGCCAACTTGATGAGCAGCTCGGACGCGGGACACGCGCACGGCGCCCGCTCGCGCAGGACCCGGATGACGGGGCGGGGGAGAAAGAGAGAGAGAGAGAGGAGGAGGGAAGAGCTGCGCATGCGCGGCGCGAGGAGGCCTCGCAGCCCCCCCCTCCCCGCGCGCTGCCTGGGCTCCCCCGACTTCCGGTCAGCCGGGTGTCCGGGCCTGGGCGCGGGAGGCGGAAACGGAAGGCATCGCCGCCGGCCGCTGGGTTGCTTTTCCCCCTCCTGGTTGTCTAACTCGAACCCGGAGGGCTGAAATGGCGTCCGCGTTTTCTCTTGCTTTTCCCCCTCTGGTGTGGTGTGGTTCTGTTTTTCTGAGCCCGCCGCCTGTCAGGCTGCGACCTGCGGACCGCGGTTCGAAGCCAGCCCCCCGGCGCGCTGGGGCAAGGGGGCGGGGACAAAGTCCCGGAGAGTCTGACCGCCAATCAGCCGCCGGCAAACCGGAAGTGGCGCTGTGGCTCAGCGGGTAGAGCGCCAGCCTTGAGCTGAAGAGCTGCGGGACGGCGCCCAGGCCCCGGGTTCAAGCCCCACCGCCGACCCAAACAGAAAAAACGCTTCAAGTGTCCGCCTTGTCTTGGCAGATGGTCCCTGGAACTCCAGGAGAGGCCTGCCCAGGCCCAGGGACCCCTGGCACATTCTCAGGCCTGGGACAGGTAGGTCCTAGAGGGGCCCATCCACAAATGCCCATCAGATCCCAACCCCCCTGCGGACAATGTGGGCCCCTCTCCATACCTTACCCCTCCCTCAGAGAGTCAGCCTTTTTTTCCAGAACATTATTCTGGTGCCACTTGGGACGTCTCCATGGGAAGGGCTGCACGGAGGACGAGCCCTTACAACGTGATTCTGGTTTAATTTTAAACCATCAGAACTGGTTTTCCAGGGGTCCACCCTGCATAGTCAGTGATCATCAGAACTGAAACCGTCTTTGGATCTTTTACAGCAGATTCAATCCACCAGTCCCATTATAAATCTATCCTAACTCTGATCATTTCTCATCGCCATCATCTTTGTGGCCTAAACCAGCCAGGGTCAGCTTGCGTGACACATTAACGGGGCATCTGCTATTGTCCTCCAAGCTCCAGCCCTATGTCTCTTCACACACACACACACACAAAAAACAAAAAAGTTGCCAGGCGCCAGTGGCTCACATCTGTCATCCTACCTACTCAGGAGGCTGAGATCTGAGGATCGAGGTTCAAAGCCAGCCCAGGCAGGAAACTGTGAGACTCTTATTTCCAATAAATCACTAGAAAACCAGAAGTGGTGCTGTGGCTCAAGCAGTGCTCACCTTGAGCTGAAGAGCTCAGGAACGGCGCCCAGGCCCAGAGCTCAAACCCCACAACCAACAACAACAAAGTCACAGAAGGTTCTGCACTCAAGTGGCCACAGAAATCTGATTTGGAGAGGGAGTGAGCCAGAGAGAGCCAGACGGTACCCATGCCCACCAAAGCGGGCAGCTGCTGTTGACCGTGTATCAGCAGGGGAAAGAGGAGGAAGAGGACCCAGTATTGCCAGATCTGACATTTCAAATTTGGACTTCTGTACCCCCCCCCAAAAAATCTCATTTTATTCATTCAGCAGCCATCCCCTCTCCCTTTCACCCCCCTCCTCCACTCCATGGTCCCCCTCTCTCTCTTTCTCTCTCCCCCCCCTTTAGACATTCAGGAGGCCAAACAAAACAAACCCATGGTCCCAATTTAGCCTGCTGGCCATTAGTTCACAATCGCCAGCCTACATCTTAAACTTCTTTACTACATCATAAATTCTGTGAAAGTAAAGTCTGTGCACTCACTTGGTTATTTGTTGTTAATTCAGGAGTTTCCAACCCTTGGAAGGCACATATTTCTGGAGCCTGTGTGGGTTTACAGCTCCCAGAAGTACCCATAACCTCTACCTCAGAGGATGTCATTTTTTTTTCCAGCATTGGTGTTTGCAGAAGGATTTGTTGGTTATTATAGGACGCAACAACGATTTGGCTTAAGATGTTTGTACACTATAGTCTCTCCTTACTTCAAACGGCGAGTAAAATCCTTCCCCCAAACAAATGGTTTTCATAGATGCAAGGATGATTTGTGGTTGCGACAGTTTTTTCATCATCGTATTTGTGATCTTTGTAAGGCCAATGGGTTTTGCGTCCTGAATTATGAGCCCAGACACTGATCACATCAACCAACCAGAGACTCCAGTCTCTCCTGGTTCCTTTGTGGACACAGTGTTGGTCTTTAGTTGGAAGAGATAATAATAGAGAGGAAAGGCATAGAGATTCAAACCGTCAACAGAAGCAACCAAGGAACTGAGAAATCGCCCAGACCTCAAAAGACATAGAAATCACCAGGCGCTGGCGGCGACTTACCATTGTGATCCTAGCTACTCAGGAGGCTGAGATCTGAGGATTAAGGTTCAAAGCCAGTCTGGGCAGCAAAGTCCAATCAACCTCTAATTAACAGGCAAAAAAAAACCAGGAGTGGAGCTGTAGTTCAAGTGGTAAAGCACCATCCTGGAATGAAAAAGTGAAGGGATACCACCTAGTCCTGAGTTCAAGCCCCAGTACCAGCATGCACACACACTCACACACACACACACACACACACACACACACAGAGCTTAGAAATCAAAAGCTTCTTATGTTTAGGATAGTCAAACTTATCAAACAGCTAATGATCAGGCTTCAAAAGTCATAGAATGAAATAACATACCTCTGTTTTTGGCAATCAACTGGATCTCAGGTAGGACAGACCAGATCTGGTTAGTCATATACCTGCTTGAGAAGTTCAGCTTATCAACTAAAAGCTTCAGTACTCCATATTTCTTTGCTTGTAGAGAAACCTATTCTGGATAACTTGGGCCCGTGGTTCCCAGGCAGAGATGACTGTGCCCCAGGAATCATTGTCATCTTAAAACATTCTTGCTGGGCACCAGTGGCTCATACCTGTAATCCTAAACTACTCAGGAGGCTGAGATCTGAGGATTGCGGTTTTGAGGATCATGGTTTTTTTAAAGCCAGACGGGCAGAAAAGTCCCTATGAAACTCTTATCGCCAGTGAACCACTCAAAAGCCAGAAGTGGAGCTGTGGCTCAAAGTGGTAGAGAGCTAGCCTTGAGCAACAGAGCTCAGAGACAGTGCCCAGGCCCTGAGTTCAAGCCCCACAACCACCACCACCAACAGCAACAAAAGACTCTTTCTTGGCTATCACAAGTCAGATAGCAACGCTACTGGTATGTAATGGATAGAGTCGGGTATAAAGCGAAACATTCTATAATGCACGCACACACACACACACACAGAGTGAGGGAGAGAGAGAGATCATATAAAAGGAGATTTTCTAGGGGGCTGGGAAGGTGGCTCAGTGGTAGAGCGCTTGCCTTGCATGCATGAGGCCCTGGGTTCGAGTCCTCAGCACCACATAAGCAAAAAGAAAAAAGCCAAGTGGCTCTGTGGCTCAAGTGGTAGAGCGCTCACCTTGAGCTGAAGAGCTGAGGGACAGCGCCCAGGCCCAGAGTTCAGGCCCCACGACCGGATCCAAAAAACAAAAAAGGAGATTTTCTAGTGCATTTTGGGTGTCCCAGTATGAAATACGGCCTTAATAGTGAACAGATAAATCTCGATTTTTCACAAACTAGAACTTGAAATCATGTCACCTGCACACACAGAGAGAGAGAGGAAAACAGAGACTCTGACAGACAGAGAGAAAAAAAACGACTGTTCCCTCTATTTAGCACATGGATCTGGTGACTCCCAGAAGCTTTCTGGAAGGAATGACAGCTGAGAACCCACAGCCCGTGCTCAAGTGGATACCTCTGGACCAATTCTCTACAAAAGCCCTGGTAAGCTCTTGATGGCTTCTTGCAAATGGTCCTCCTCTCCAGATGTCTGCAGACGCTCAACAGACAGCGTGGTGTCTGTACATGGTATGCGTGTAACATGAAGTTATCCTCTCTCTCTCTCTCTCTCTCTTTCCTGAGCAACATAATTAGGAGCCTCCTCCCTGGGGAAAGGCAGCTTAATGCCTAGTGCAGGAGCCCGGCTCCCGCGTCTCCAGCCATCTGCTACATTAAAGAAGGCCTTCTGTGGCCGGAATCCAAAACAGAAAATTAAAAGGGTTGCTTGCACCCAGAGTCGTAAAACAAAGAGGCTTTCTCAAGCAGGCTGGAAGGGAAACCCCCCCCCCACTCTTTCTTCCTGACTTAAACAGCATCTGTTTCTCCTGTTGGAAGGCACCCCATCCGCTAGTTAAACCGTGAATGCTTCTCCTCCATCCTCTGCCATACAGTCCCAGAGGAGCCTCACCCCAGGGGAGTACCCCACTACAACTCCAGGGCAGCAGGTGAACATGTTGGGAGGGTTATGATCTGGGAGTGGGGTGGAATGGGGGAGCAGGGAGGGACCAGAGCTCTGCATTTTCCAGGAAACACTTGGTCTGCACAGCATCTTAACCCTGGGAACTCCAGAAGCCACACTTCTTGGTTTGAACGTGAATTTATGACCTCCGTGACCTTGAACCTCCCTCTCCTCATCCTCCAAATGGAGACAGTAGAACCATTCTGAGACAAAAATATACAGGTGCTTGTTTGGAGAGAAAAAAAAAAAAATCATGCCTGACCTCTTACGGGCTAGAAACTTCTAAAACATCCTTAGCAAATCTCTTGGTTCCATAAAACATATAAGCCAAATACGGTGGCTCACACCTGTAATCCCAGCTACTTGGGAGGCTGAGAGCCAATTGGAGGCCAGCTGGCAAAAAAGTAAAACAAAATAAAATAAAAATAGCAAGGTCTCGTCTCAATCAATCAGGCAGGTCTGGTGTCAAAGACCTGGGATCCCAGCTACTCAGGAGGCTGTAGATAGTAGGATTGTAGTCTGAGGCTGGCCTCAGGCAAAAATGTAACATACTCACT